AAGAGGGTGTTAAATGTTCTATATATAATATTTTATCTCAAGCTGAACATGATGGCATAAGCTTATTAATCCCAGCATTGGGACATAGAGTCAGGAGTTCAAAGCCATCCTCAACTACATAGGGAGTTTGCAGCAAGCCTAGAATATATGAGAACCTGTCACACAAAAAAAGAAAAAAATCAACTCCTAACCGAACCATCACCACAATGCCAAAAAACAAGACTTTTTAAAGGGGAGATGGGGAGTGGGACTGTGCAGGCTATTTGGAAACCATTTCATGGGGCAATACAAATTGTGTTTTCAGATTTTGTACACAGAACTCCATCCAAACTCTTAGTGTTTCCTCACAAGAGCAGTAAAAGAGTAACTCTGTGTACCTGATCTTCATTTGAAGGATGTGGGATAGGTGGTGGTCCCTGCTGTCTTGGCACATGCATGAGGGTCCCTGAACTGGAGAGAGGGTGCTGCAGTCACAGGCCTGCAAGGAGGCTTACTCCATAGGAGTTCACTTGCAAGGCTAGGGAGAATGTTGGTAACGGATTGCTGTACATCCTGGCTTGCTTTGGTATGAAGTATCAGAAAAATCTAAGCTTCATTCAGTCCTACACAAAAAAGACATTTTTACATTAATATTGTAATATTACAATACAGGACAGGAGGTGGGGGATATTTACACACACATGCACACACATGCTATTATGACTGTGAAATGAACATAGACAAATCAGCAGTTGCAAATGTGGGGAAGGGCTTGAGGGGTTCACTCAAGTGCATGAGAGGACTTGAGGTGCCTTCAGATCAGTCCTGAATTTCACATGGTATGCTGCCCTTCTGCTCCTGGTATGGCATGTGCCTGGGAGAGACTGCGCCTCTGCAAGCAGAAACCAGGGTTAATTCCTGGGTGTCGCCTACTTGTGAGAGGGCAGGTTCCCAGGCTTCAGGGTGGAGTTTCCCACCACCTCAACACCACCCTCTCTGGGTACTGTGAGCAATCACTGGGAAGAAAATGGGCTGCTCCACCCCCGCATGGAGTCAGCTGAGAGAACAGCACTGAAACATAGCTCGGAAGGTAAGAGTGTGGTGCGCTGGGCTTCCCGGCTGCTGGCATTCAGGACATGCTGGGATTCCTGCCGCCTTACCAGCCAGATCACTCCTCACCCCTGTGTTTCAGAGAGGGAAGGAAAGACACTGTCTGTCCCTTCATAAGGCCAGTGAGGAAGCGCGGGAGAGTTAAGACTGAGAGCAGTGAGGCCAGTTGAGGAGGTAAAAGCAGTAAGGCCCGGTGGCCAGTTGGTGGCACAGGAGGGGATGGAGAAGGGATGGCTCAGGTCTCCTGTTTAGCAACTGAGTGGATGCAGTACTGTCAGAGAGGGCAGAGTGGAGGAGGGACAGGAGCTTTGGGAAGCCAGGTGTTCCAAGATTCAAGGATTGGGCCGCCATAAGAGAAAACCTGACTGGTAGAAGAACATGGCTCTATGTGGGCTTGTAATCCCAGTGATGGCAAGAGAGGAACAGAGCCAGGCAGACCCTGGGAGCTTAGGGGCCATCTTCCTGGTCTGCAGGCCAAGTTCAATCCACAGAGAGACCCCGACTCAGACAAAAGGTGTAGAAGAGCTTGAGAATTAATATTAAAGGTTGTTCTCTGACCTACACACACACACACACACACACACACACACACACACACGGCAGGGAGTGGGATGAGATGTCAGACCCACAGAGAACCCTAAATCTGTGGATCTCAACCGCTTCATAGGTGGAATGACCCTTTCATAGGATTCACCTAAGACCATCAGAAACAGTTATTTACACTATGATTCATAACAGTAGCAAAGTTACAGTTACAAAGTAGAAACAAAAATAATTTATGGTTGGGGTCACCACAGCATGAGGAACTGTATTAAAGGGCCATAGCATTAGGGAGGTTGAGAACCACTGCTATAAATGGACAAGGTGACCAAAACTAAAATACCATTTCATTTCAGCAGCTAACTCTCTCCAGTGATGAATTTCAAGTTCTACTAGCCCCGTTTTCAGTTTCTGGTGACCTCTCTGACCATGGCCGTGCCTACATTTTATCACTGTAAGAAGAGTGAGCGTGGCACCTCATGAAGTCTGAGTGACTTAAGTGAAGTGGTGTATGTGAGCTGTTCTCACAGTGCCTGATACAGAAACTCAGTAAGGCAGCTGTGGTAGGAGCTGCAGAGATGGCTCTGTGGGTCAGAGTCCTTGTTGTGCAAGCGTGAGGATCTGTGTGTGAAACCTCAGAACCGCAATTAACTGGATGTGGCGGCAAATGTACCTGTAACCCAAGAGGGTCTCTGGGGCTCTCTGGTTACCAGTGTAACTCCAGTTTAGAGGGAGACCATGTCTCAAGGGAATAATTTAGAGAGTGATAGAGCAGGGCACTTGGATGGCTTCCTTTGACCTCTGAGTGTGCAAGGACACTCAAACCTATGTCCTTGTACCATGCACCAGACATGCATATACCCTGCACATACATTCTACATACACACAAAACATTTTAAAGTCAGTTTTAATCCTAAGGGTATTGTGTTCCTTGCTGGAAGGATAAATTATAAAACAGATAGGGAACACTCTCTTAAAAGCTGTGGTTCATCCAGTGGCTGATGGAAGCAGAGGCAAACACCCACAGCTAAACACTGAACTAAACCCTTGGAGCCCAGTGACAGAGAAATGAGAGATGAGCAAATTGACAAAGAATGGGCTGGCGAAACCAGCAGAGACAGCTGATCTGAACAGGGGAGAGCTCTTGGACCCCACACTGACAGCCAGGAGGCCAGCATGGGACTTATCCAGACCCCCTAAGTGTGAAAGTCAGTGAGGAGGCCTGGGCAACCTATGGGGCCCTGGGCAGTGGATCAGTGTTTATCCCTGGCAAACAAACAGACTTCGTGTGTCCATAGCACAAAGAGGGATGCTCTCTCAGCCTGGACTCTTAGGGGAGTGCCTGGACCATGCCCTGAGTGAAATGACAGACTCTAGATATCCCCTATGTGGATAGTGTGGGAGGCTGGGGGGAGGATGGTGGGAGGTGCGGGAGGAGGGGAGGGAGAGGGAACTAGGATTGACACGTGAAACAAGCTATTTAAAATTAAAGTAATAAAAAAAGTTGTGGTTCTGATTATTATTAATAACAGGTTCATAATTACTTTTGTCACAGTATTAAGTGAAAGCCCCTTTGGATGGCTGACAACTGACAAAATAGGAAGTTACTAACGGAGTTGCCTGCTCCTGTTACCAGATCTTATGACATAATATTTCTCACTGGGAATCCTTTGACATGTCAGCTGAGTTTCCTATGCCCTTGCCTTAAGCACTGCAAATGTGATCCACATGTCCCCAGTGTTGTTTCTGTCAATGAAAAGGGAGAAAGGAGGAGGCGCTGGACGTACTTGGGCTGCCACAGGAACCCCACCCCCACCCAGCTGTTGGGGCTGGGGCCCACACTTGAATGGCTTTCTCTTCTTTTGTTTAACTCATTTTAATGCTCAGAGCCAACTAGTCCTAATGTGTTTGGTGACTCAGCTGTTAGAATTTCTGCTTTAGGGAACAGGAGCCTGGCAAGGTTTAAGAGTGACCCAGCCACGTGCTCTTTCTCCTCCCCTGGAAATAAATATTTGAGCAAGGGCTTTGATTCAGGCCTTGTGGAGCCAAATACTAGCTGTGATGGGGCATGGAGGGGCTAGCCTCAGCCACTCTGGTAGCACAGAAGATGGAGACAGAACTGTCACAGCACCTGCAGGATGATCCAGAGAGAGACAGCCAGGAGGGCCCAGGCCAGAGGAAGATTACCCATGTGCCTTTGTCCCACAAGAGAGAAATGCCACAGGCTCAGGGGAGAGCATGCTTGAGTGAAAGGGCCTAGCGTTGCCCAGCTGTGTTCTTATACACACGAGCCACTGAGCAGGGGTAGCATGAGCCTTGGAGGTGTGCTCACTAGGGGATCGAGTGTACACATTCTAGGACCATCTCAACTGGATCTGAATCCTACCTGAGAGTTATTCATGTTCTCACACCATTGTCTTTAGTTAACAGAGAGACCAAGTAGCCTGCCCAAGATCACGTGACTAGTCACATGTCAGCTGGTGTTTATGAACTCCAGAGGCCTATCCTAACCACTCCCTACCGCCACATATCCTTGTCACATCCCTGCATGCCAAAGAGGGGACTCTAACCCAGTCTTACCCAAGTTAGAACACCCCCCCCCCCACCAAGTGACTGACTAGATTTCTGTGGCCTTTCAAAAAAAATAGTACATAAGTAAATACTAGGCAGAAGCAGTGGCTCCCAGAATTTGGGAATCCCTGCCCTAGGCTCTGAGTGCAGTGAGCATCTCCATGCCACAGGCTCTGCATTTCTGGTTCATGCTAAAAAGCCACACAGTGAGCTGGGTAGATTTACAAGCTGGCATCCCCTGGGATGGATTCTGAGTCTCTCTTCCCTGTTGTTGAAGTGCTAATGAGAAACACTAATTGGACTTGGCCAGGGTCTGGAATAGTCTCCTTTATAAAGTAGGGAGGGCAGTATCCCTTTCCAGGAGGGGCTCCCAGCCTTCTGGACTGAGTGGAGAAGTGAGAGGACTCGGCAGGCAGCTGGCCTTTGAAGGAACAGGATTGTGATCATCAGAAGTGACCAAGTCTAAGTGCTGTACAAACAAAGCCAGAGCTCTATGTCACCCCAGAATCCTGAAAGAAGCACTCTGGCCCTGCCAAGCTTTTTGTAAATACTCAATGAAGGGCCCCTGAGCCTATAGGCTAGTTTCTTGGTAATTCCAAACTCTGTCTACATATAGGTAAAACCCCAGCAGAAGTGGTTGACTTCTCTCTCATTATGACCCTAGGGCAGTAGGCAGAGGAGAAACCCACAATACTGAGGCTTGTCCTATCAGGACAGGGGAGTGAGACAGTTGCTGTGGTATGGTCTACAGAGTTCCTCTCTGCTCCCAGCGTGACCTCTGTGTCTTGTTTCCCCCACAGGCGTTCTCTCTCTCCCTGCCTACTTCAGTCCCTACAACGGTGGGTCCCTGGGCCACGACGAGCGAGCTGATGCCTACGCTCAGCTGGAGCTGCGAACATTGGAGCAGTCTCTCCTGGCCACATGCGTGGGCAGCATCTCAGAGCTGAGTAAGTATGGGGCCTGGGGAGAACATTAAAAAGAGCTGGGTTCCGAAGCCCCTGCGTCCTGTGTTCTTGTCTGAGGCTTCAGATTTATTGAGAGCAACACTTGTAACTTAGATGTATACTCATAAGTAATTTAGTTTTCCATTCAGACTAGAAATTGCAGTGTCAGTCACAAGGGCAGGGGCTTGCTCACTTTTGCCTACTGCTTTTCCCAGGTGCACAGAACTTTCCCCCAACACAGATAACAGCGCCTGATGATCAGTATGTGTGTGTGTGTGTGTGTGTGTGTGTGTGTGTGTGTGTGTGTGTGTGTGTGTGTGTGAACATGGGTGAGAGTCTACATGCACAGTAGAAGGGATGAGTCTGTCCCACCCAGTTTGCTTCTGAAACTCTCCTAGGCTTGGCGGTCCTGGCCTGGCCACTCCTTAGGACACTGAGAGAAGACATCTCCAGTGTACCTTCTGAGAGAAAGCAGAACAGGCTGTGTCACACACTACCACATTGCCTGGCCCCTCCCTCTGAAACCAAAAGTTCTGCTAACCTACTCTGCAGGGGAGGGGACAAAGGTGGAGGCAGATATTTTAATTTTTGTTTCAGAGTCTAAACACCTTAATGAGGCTAGTGATACTTGGCACTGAGCTCTGTGGACCTAGAATTTACCCTAGACATTCCATGCGTTAATCTCTGTGCCCAGCCAGGACCAGCCTGCCTGTTAAATTAGAAAGATTCATTCTTGGAACAGGTCTAGCTGCATGGAGAGCTCTGGTCCTTAGGTTTTCTCTATGCTTCTGTACCCATGAAAACTTGAAAGAGAAGGAGTGAGTAGAAAACAAAGCATTTCTCTTTAAGGGTGGCCAGATGTTCAAGGGCTTATTTTGAAGATGGTGCTGTGTTCCAGACTCTCGCCTGCTGTTTTTATTTGATGGCTCATAATGAGGGTTGGAACGACCTGCGTAAAACCTGTAGCACCTCTAATCAGGTCTTTCATGGTGAGGGCTTGTTTTCCCATGCCTGGTGGGTGTTTCTGGGCATGAGACCAATGTTTCATTGAGCTTGGGATCACTTGATTCTTAAGTACAATTCAGGGATGTTCCAAAAGCACCAAGCGTCCACCTGTGTCCACCAAGAGCCCAGCCCAGCCAGCTCAAGGTCCAGGAACAAGCTGTGCCATGGGACCACAGATATCCCTGCACTCAATTACAGATTGAAACTTTACAAAATGCACTAAAACTGGGTATCAAAAAATGAAATAAAACATGTAAAAATTATTCTTAGGTAAACACAACATTACCATCAAATTGCCATAGATGTCTTTCCCTTCCCCCTTCTTTCTTTTCTTCTTTCCTGAGACATGGTCTCATGTTGACCAGGCTGGCTTCAAACTCTCTAGTATAGCTGATGATGAACTTGAACTTCTGATCCTTCTACCCCTGTCTCCTAAGTGGGATTATGGACATGTACTATCATGCCCAGGCTTATTCCATGTTAAAGATCAAACCCCAGGTTTTATACATGCTAGGCAGGCACTCTACCAAATGAGCTACATCCCCAGGCATTATGAGCATCTTTTAAAAAATCACTGTTCATTTCTAGAGTTAACCTATGAGCTATTAACAGTACCAAGTGTGGCCTGTCCCAGCTCACAGGATGCACTGTGTGTGGTATGAGGGCCACAGTCCAGAGCTGATGGGGGAGGTGAGGCCCAGACACAGTCTCAGCCACCTTCCATGCAGTTTGCAGCTCTGATCCATCTTTGAACTCCTGGAAGCTTAGGTTCTCTTTTTCTTAGTGGAAATAGTTATCCCCTTCCAAGGTGGGTCTAAATATTCGATGAGTTTTTGCCTGTGTTTTTTTGTGTATCATAAAGCTTAAAAAATAGAAACTGACAAGAGTTAAAATCACTCAAGGAGAGGTTCCAAGGCAAGCTGTGACTTTGGCCATATGGGTTATGGAATTGCCTACTCGTTTCTACAAGTCCTTTCTGAATTGTCTGCAGACATCTGTCCCTTGGTCTTGGAGAAAAATTGCCCTTCATTTAGCAAGGATTTGAACTGAGGAAGCTGGCTTCCTCTCTTCTTCATGGTTTTTCTGACCCTCTGGACCCCTGTGTCCTGTTTTTCCTTAAAGGGAACCCCTTGATGCCTCAAGTCTCTTGCCTGTGTTCCGGCTGGAAATGTGCTGCCAAAGGGTGCTCCACCAATAACAATAAAACAATAAAAATAATTAATGCTAATGACTTTTACCTTGTCCAGCCTTTGGAATAGTATTCCAACACAACATCTCTCTGATGCTATCTCACTTTGATTTCTCCTCCTTGTAGTCATATGGCTCGCCAGCTGTTATGACATTTAGACCTAGAGAATAAGGAGCCAGGTTTCGGCTTTCTGCCACCAATTTAGCTGATACTGGCTGCTGGAGGCACAGCCCCTTGCTGCTTTTGATGCCAGTTTCTGCCACCCCAGAGCCCCAAGGCAGGGCTGGGACCTGGCATTGCAGGACCAGATTCCTCCTCTCTTGGGAAATATTGGACAGTGTGTGTATATAAGCAGTAGTTCTTTGAGGACCTCGGGAGGCTCAGGAAAGATGGAGGAATGGTGATAACAGGATGTCAGTGATGCTGCTGTTATCCTCAACTTTAATAAAAAATGAGTACTTCATCCCAAAGAGGTTCACATTTATTATTTCTTTGACTCCTCAAAGTTGATTGTGTACTCGCAGCTCCATTTCATAGATGAGGAAACTGAGGCCCTGATCATTACTTAGGTTACATGGACTAGAAGTAGCTGACCTACAATCTGAAGCCACAAGTACAAAACTCTGGAATATGGACTCTGATCAGGTTTCTTGGTGATGATTTTTAAATATGAATGAATAATAAAATCACCAAAGGATTTTTACAAATTAAAGGTGTCACCAGGCCAGAGTACCTAGGCAGCTAACTGTATTTTGAGGAATAAAAAGAATCAGGATGGATTCTTTATGTCTTCTGAGTCTGCCTTGGTTGGAGATAGTACATGGAGGACTCTTTAGGTGGGGTGTTCTAATTATGTTCATTTATCCTGACTTGAATCCAGTCACTGTCATTGTGTCTATACTGGGAGATTGTAGCAGCCAGTGTACCTAAGTCAAGCCTTGTCTGTTGTAGTATTTGAAAATGAAATTTATGCACAAGACTGCTTCTTCATTTACTAACCAGGCATTTACTAACACCTTGTGTATGGGAGACTCTGTAGGGCTCTCAGAACACAAAGAAATGCAAAATCAGACACCCAAAAACTGAGTGATGGAGGTTGACCAGGTAAAGTAATGCATTACCTCTGCTGATTTAAAGTTATGTTATAGGCGCAGTTAGAACCTGGTCATTGCTGCTACTCTGGAGTTAGCTGGATTCTTAAGGCTTCCTGTGGAAAGGGCCATCTATAAGGGAATGCTCTGAGTTCAGGAAGGCTGACCCACAGGAGAGACACCCTGAGTTCTCAGGCCTGGAGAATGTAAAGGCTTCACTAGTCAGAGGTGTCTGCAAGTGCTTGGGGCCGTTTCAGACCATCCTTTCTCAGCATTGTGGCCTCACACAATGATGGGACATTTCCTGTAAGAGGCTGGTGAGATGTTGAAAAGACTAACACAGAAACACAAAACAGGATATGGGCACCTATGACCCCACAGATTCCATTAAGGCATGGTACAGCCCCATAGCACAGTCAAGTTCATGGGTTTTGGAATCAGCTAGTTGACTCATATACCCCACTGTAGGTTCCCTGTGACCAGAACACATGGGGCTAGGATATGTTTGGCAAGTAAGTCTCATTGCCTTCATTTAAACATAGTGATATACTGAAGGCACTGTAAGGATTAAGTTGACTTGTATTTCTAAGGAATTGCTTCCTTTGTGCTCAGTTGAGTGTTCAGTGGATGGATGTTGCCATTATCATCCAAAGTCCCAGGTTTTTGCACATGATAGCATAGGGGAGACTCCACAGAGCCTGTGCTTGGCTGGTTCCCGTGTTCAGAGAACTGAGGGAAGGCCCCTGGGGCAGTGGAGAGAATGGAGATGTTGAAAAAGGAAACCACATTAGCATAAGTTCTGGAGGAGACAGCTCTGCCAAGTGTTTGTAATTCAGCTGTTAAGGCAAGACTGGAAATGAAAGGGAAACCAAATTGTTATTGTGCAGCTAGGTGACAGTCTCCTCCTCAGCCTGTTGACTCAGGGGTAAACAGTAATTATACTAAGTGAAGGGAGCTGCTACCCTAAGAGGATGTGGGCTGGGAACTCAGACTCTTGTCTTTTTCCTCCTTCCCTTCTCCAGGTGACCTGGTCTCTCGAGCCATGCATCACATGCAGGGGCGCCACCCCCTGTGCCCAGGCACCAGCCCTGCTCGCCAAGCCCGCCAGCCACCACAACCCATCACATGGTCCCCTGATGCTCTTCATACACTCTACTACTTCCTGAGGTGTCCACAAATGGAGTCCATGGAGAACCCCAACCTGGACCCCCCAAGAATGACCCTGAACAATGAACGGTAGGTATTATTCTTGCCTAAGCACCAAGCAGGAAAGCTCTCAAATGCACACTGACCTACGGGCCGTGCAATAAGCCTGGTACTGACTGACAAGTGTGAGGTATGGCCTGGGTGCTCAGACACATGAAGGACCATGTATACCCAGGGCAGATGCATTATGGGGTCACTGAGGCTAGGAAGTGGGCTTTAGCCTCAATGTGGAATTGGTTAGCGTTGCATGCACTAGCTGGCTCTTTGAAACCCTGTTTCCTCTACAAAATGAAAGGTGACGTGGGACAAAGTGAGCAGGCACTTTGAGAAAAACCAGTGAGGACAGTGGTAACTGTCACCTCTTTTGATGACAGTGTCACTGTTATAAGGGATCTTAGGCATGTTTTACTCTAGATGCCTGTTTCACAGGTTTTTGTTGTCTCCAGGGCCCCAGCCCTTTCTAACCTGAACAGATCTACAGATTGTGGACTTCCAAGGTGACCCAGTGAGGGACTTGAGTAGGGTTGCCTGAGTAGCCATGTAAACCTGAGGACAGGGCTCCAGCTGTAGGTCCTCAGGGGCCTCCTTTTTTAAACCTTCTGCCTAAAGGGTTTTTTAAAAACAATACACCAGAACTGGAGAGAGGGCTCAGTGGTTAAGAGCACTGGCTGCTTTTCCCAGAGATTCTGCATTTGATTCCAAACCCCATAACAATTCACAACTATCCACAACTCCAGTCTCAGGGGATCTGATGGTCTCTTCAGACCTCTGCTAGCACCAAGCATGCATACAGGCATGTGGCACACATACATACATGTAGTCAAAACACTTAAGATAATACAAAAGCCTAAAAGTTTTAATGAATAAATCTTCTGAAAAATATACTTCAAACATTCTGGGCATGATGGCACATATCCTTAAGCCCAGCACTCAGGAGACAAAAGCAGGTGGATCTTTATGAGTTTAAGGCCAGTCTGGTCTACATAGTGAGTTCTAGGACAGCCATGGCTCTGTAGAGTGACCTGCCCCCACCCCACCCCAAAAACAAAACATATGTATGTCTGTGTGTGTGTGTGCATAATGTTTATATATTACCTATATTTATATATATTATACTTTAATATGCACATATATATCCCAATTAACTGTGGACTTGAAGTTGTGTTCTCCTACATGGGGAAAACCCAAGAGCTTCACCCACCAGAAGGAGTGTGGCCTAAGGTCTTCCCCAGCTGCCCCTGTTGTCTTCAGGGGGCATCAGTCTGCTCCACAGCAAGCCCCCTTCTCCAGGGCCTCTGCAGTCACACAGCACACACCTAAGGTGTATTTGTATGCTTTGGCTGGTTACAGACAGCCTCCAGGAAGCATTGGTACTGCTGTGGACATATATCAACGTTTGGCTCAGAGCTGATGCAGTGCTGTGGACCAGGTGGCCTGGGTACAAATAACAGCATGGACATTCATGAGCCTTGAGACCTTTGTGCAAGGTTCTAACCCTCATTGCTTCATTTCCTCATCTGTAAATACAGGAGTGGTAAAAAGACTGTGAGAAGATTCCAGGAAGGCAGCCAGTGCTCAGTGCGAATTTACTAGGTATCAGACACAATGTTGAGCACTTTATGGGTGTGTGCTCATATCTTTCACATCTACCAGGAAGGAGGCACTCACTGTATGCATGAGTACATGGAGCCACAGAGAGACTCAACAACTAGTCAAGGCCACAGACGCTGTGCTCATAACCACTGTACCTTATAGCCTGTAACTGAAAGAAACATAAAATGATAGTGGCCTGGCACCCACAGGAGTAATGATAGCAGTAAATGCTACCATCATTGTTACTATTACTGATACCCTTGTGATGTCAGCATCATTTTATTTCCCTGGAAGACTGAGGGAGGCCCATCTGGGTCTGGCCCAAAGCAAGGCTTCAGCTGGAACCCAAGCCTATGCAGTGGGAGGCGGAGCCAGATCTCAGGCCCTGCACCCCAGCTGTTTCTGTTTTGTGGAGAAAGTGTTGCGGCTGCAAAAGTTGGCTGGGGAGGAACAAGGGCTAGGCAAACCGCATTAGAGAGAGAGAAGAGGAGGAGACTTCCTTGTTGTTTGGTAAGCTTCTCAAGAGGCAAAGCCAACTTGGAGAAGGTGAAGTAGGCCTGCTGCCCTGGGCTGGGCCAGGCTGCTCGGCTCTCAGGCTGTGACACCCCCCCCCCCCCCCCGCCCCAACCCCAGCATTTTTGTGGCAGCAGCATCTGGCTTTGCCCCTGTGGGTATGCAGTGCCTCCCCCCCATGCTTGTAACAGGATCATCAGGCTTCCCTATGGCAGGAGTCCATTATCTGCATGTGGTGGTAGCCACTGAGTTTGAATAGTAACGTACACACGTGTATGTGTTTAGATATCAATTATCTAAAAACCACACTCTGCAACAAGTCTACTGGTCACGAAGGTATTTTTCCATGAATCATTTCAGACAAGTATTAGACTGGTAGGAAATTGGAACCACCACTGTGGGGGCAGTAAAATCTAAAACTTTCAAATCTTGATACTGACAAGCAGATGCCTGGAAGATACCCAGATAAGCAGCCTCCTATGGCTGGTCTCTCTCTACTGATGCAGGTCTTGCTGTGTCTCAGACTTTCAAGGACCCTAGAGGCCTTGGAGAGCTGGGGTGTGCCTCATAGCCCCTTGAAACTCTACTAGCCCAGCATCCCCACCAAAGTGCTGAGGAAAATCTGCCATCCTGTGGTAAACAGAGTTTGACACAGATTCAGGGCTTTGCTTTTGTGAGCTCAGAGTACTCTCCTGACTCTACCTGTTTCCTTCTGTCACCCCAGAAGCCCTCAACCCAAACTGAACAGAGCCTGTGTTTCAAGGTATGGCAGTGAATGTCTGGCCTGAAGGTCTTCTGTGGGGACTGAAGGCTGCCTGGGTCTCTTTGGGATTAAGTGACCTCATTCACTAACTCACACCTAAGGGGCTCATATTGGTGGCCTGGATTTGGTAGTATGGATATTCAAGTCTTCTTTATTTTTGTTTATAAGGAATAGACCATGATTCCTTCTAGTGAGAAGTCTTCAGTGACCACAGCCCTGTAGATAAGGGATAGCAACATGCTGACATCCCTTTCGTGTGGATGTCGGTTCAGTGGAGCCTCTATCTCTCTGCAAGGCAACCCTCCCCCAGACCTGGGTACTCTGAGCTTGGGAAGGAGGTGGCACAGACAGCAGGGACTTAGGATGACAAGCAGGACAGGGCACCACTGAAAGAAGCGAGGAGACATTCAGACATTCTCTTGCTGTGAGTCGGGTGACATCCAGGAATAATGTTCTATCCACGTAGCCTGCCTGATTTGGGGAAAACAACTCTATACTGGGCAGAATACACACACACACACACACACACACACACACACACACACACACACGGTGAGATGTGTTGTGATCTTCCTTTTAAAGAGCATTTCTAGATATTTTTGTTTCTTGTGCACATAATTTGTCAGGAAGGTGATGTATCAGGCACGGGCCTGAGTGATGACTAGTTAGGTGAGAATTACAACTACATTTCTGAGTCCCAGGCCCTTGGCTTTTCACAGTGCTACATATAGCTCTTCTCCCTGGCCCCCAAAGCTCTGGCATCATGAGTGGGCCCCAACTTTCAGGTCTGCCTCCTCCAGGCCCCTCTAGCTTCACCTGCTTCTCTTATACCAGGGCCCTACTTGTTACCCTGGGGAGCTTTCCATCTCTGTGCCCTCCCAGGATGCCTTGCTCTCGGGCAACTCCGTGTCACAACACCAACCAGACATAAGGCAGGGCCTAGGACACAGGATTAGTCACAGCTGCTGCCCTGTGGGGTGTGTCACTGCTGAGATTAAGCTTAGAAAGTGAAAGAAGCTCCTGTCATGGATCCAGGAGTCTGTGCCGCCCTCCCCTGAGGCCTGGAGGAGGATGGGCAACCATCTGGCCCAATGTGGTCCTTGACGGTGGTAGCGCCTGAAGGCAGAGGGTTGGCCAGCTGGAATGGCAGCCTAGACTGTAACTGTCCTGAGGAATGAGGAGAATGATGACTGTATAGACATTCAGGGGAAGCAAGAGAACAGGTCTCTTGCCAGCATATTACTGGATGATGTCATCAAGGATCAAGAATGGAAGGAGACACAGAGCTAAAGAGGTCAGATTGGGGTAGGGTGACCAGTCCTGGGTATCAGAGCCCAGGACTCTAAAAAAGTGAGACCAGGAAGAAAAGAGTGACAATTTTAATAAATGACTGCCTGTCTATTTGCTCAAACCTTGGGCCCTGGCTCTAGTTCATTTCCTCCATCCCCTAGCCCTACACAGTGCATTTTCATAAAGGGAGATATCCTCCAGAGGATTGGAGCCTGCCAGTATCTAAGACCCTAAACCAAGAGTGTCTGAACTGCAATGGAACTTTGCAAGGTCTGGTGTCACTGAAGCTTCATTCAGCTGGTATAAGCCTATCCAAAGAATAAACTTGGGTTCAGAGCTTAACTTTGTTGTATTTCAGAACCTTCAGCCATCAAATAGTGTGAGAGCAAGCTCAGTCTTGTGGCAGTGTGTTAGGTTGGCCCTCTGGCTCCGAGCCTGCCTCACTTCAAATCCCCCAACCAGATGGCCTCATGCCTGTCACTTCAGCTTTGTGCCTCATTGCTGCTTAGCATAGGAACAATAGTGGCAACCTCAGGATGCTCAAAGATTAGTTTGTATAAAGCACCTAGACCAGTGTTCAGTATGGCATGTGTCTAATGTTTTCATTGTCACATTCAGGATAATCTCTAAGAAAGCTAGAATTGTTGAAGGGTGGTGGAAGATAGGACCTGGGTCTTTACCTAGGCTTCAAAAGACAACCACAGAAAATTCAGATAGGTGGCATAGCTTAGGCAACAAAAATCACAGAGCTTGTGGTATTTTCAGGTACATATATCATTGACAGAAATGAATTCACACTTTACAAGCACAAAACCTAGGTAGACCCCACCACCAACCACCAGTCATTACCAATTGCTGTTTAACGAATGCT